GAGAGTCATGTTGGTGGGAAAAAATCAGTCTAATAGCATCTTTTTCAACTGACGAATTTTGTTACAAGACATAAGCTTTTGTGAGCTTCGTTTCACTTCATCAGATGCATTGAGTGGCTAGACTGTGTAGGATGTAAATTGGGGTGTGGTGTGGGAAGAAAGGTGTGGGGAAAAAGGGAGGGGGAGATAGGTTGGTTATGCAGTTGCAGGTTGTATGTGAGACAGATTATAAGTACTTTATCAATTAACAATTGTATTGCATTAAAAATCCATTATGTTTGTTGAGACCTAAGATTGCCAGAAACCTTTTGATATATTTAAGTTCAACAATTTCTTGCTTGATGGTGCTGTTAAAGTTCACTTTCCCAAAACAATCATTTTGAGGTTTTCTACAGTGTAATTGGGAGGTTGAAATGCTCTGATATTACTTGGTCCATGTTTTGAGTCCTGATGTCAAACTTACATGCATTAATTCTTTTATACAAAGTTTGTTCTGTTTGTTCTATGTAGAATTCAGAGGGACATTGTTGGCAGATGATAGCGTATATCACATTGGGGAAGGAGCATGTGAAGGCACCTCTATTCTTGTATGTGTACTTCTTGAGACCTGTGAGGATAGTGTTGGTATAGATATGGGGGCAAAATAGACATTGGGTTCATTTAGGGTCTGGTTCCCACATTGACATAATTGTTCCACTGTTGCTTGTTGCTTGTGAGAATCTGCTTTAGGTTGGGTGATTGTCAATATGCAGTTATGGGCCTGCCACCCAGTGTCTAAGAAAGTGTGGTGTCATTGTACAGTATGGGGTATAGCTGATCAATAATGCATTTGAGTGGCTTGAGCTGCAGGTGACAACCAGTGGTGTTGTGTTTCTATGGTCTGTCTTTTAATAAGCCCTTCATTAATTTGGCTACATTGATTTGTCTATTAATCTCAATGGATGAGTAGTTCAGTCTCCTGAATGACTGATTTAATTCCATAAGTTGAATACATCAGTCATGTAGGTCAGAAGAAAAGTAGTTGTAGCATAGAGCCTGGCCATAAATGATAGATTTGGTGGTGTGTTCTGGGTGGAAGCTGGAAGCATGTACATATGCTTGGCAATCTGTAGGTTCCCTGGTGATGTTTATGGGTCCATTGTATACTTTTACAGTGACATCAAGGAAGTGAACTTGTTCTGTAGATAGGCCTAGGCTGAGGTTGATGGTAGGGTGGAAGTTGTTGAAGTCATGATGGAATTTGATGAGAGATTCATTTCCATAGCCAGAGGATAAAAATGTCCTCAGTGAATCTCAAGTCAAGGAGGGGGTTCCAGGTTTGAGAGTTAAGAATGCATTGTTCTAGGTCAGCCATAAACATGCTGCAGTGGCTAAGTGCTGGGCTAGAAACCAGGAGACCATGGGTTCTAGTGCTCCCTTAGGCATGAAAGCTGGCTGGGTGACTTTAAGCCAGTCACCCTCTCTCAGCCCACCCCACCCCACAGGGTGGTGGTTGTGGGGAAAATAGGAGGTGGGAGCATTAGGTGTGTACACTGTTTTGAGTTGACAAAAAAAGGCAGGATAAATCTAATTAATAATAATAATATTGAGGAGCCATGTGTGTGCTCAAGACTGCCACTGATTTGCAGGTGCATGTTATTGCCAAAGGTGAAGTAGTTAGGGCTCTTTTCTTCTTTGTTCCAGAGTACAGGATACTTAATGTGGGTTTAAGTTACAGGAAGGCAGATTCTGACTCCATGTTAGAAAAAACCTAACCTTAAGAGCAGTTTGTCAGTGGAACCAGTTACCCAGGGGGCAATAAGGTCTTCTTCACTGGATGTGTTCAAACAAACACTAGACAGCCTTCTATTTGGAATGTCTTTATTTGGATTTCTCCACTGAGCCAGGGTTTGGGCCTGATAACTTAAATGACCCCTTCCATCTCTATTACTCTAAATATGTCTTTCTGAAATCTACAGTGCTTAATTGAAGTAAACACGACAGAACTGATCTGTAATTCACTAAGTGCACTCTGAGCAGGCCAGGAGGGAGATGATGACTTTCCTCCCTTAAATGCAGAGGACATTGAAGTATGGATGCATGGATTATAATGATGCTCTGTGTAACATGATGCCTCATAAAAGCTTTAGTGTCCTGAGGTTATGTAGATGTGTGTTGTCAGGAATACGGTTCTTAAGGGGGAATTTTCTGTATCCCTTGGAAAACATTTGATGTACTCTTGCAACTTGGCATACAGTTTTTTTTAATTTTGAGGATTCTAATATGTGGTTGTCTTCCATAGCTGGCAGCACCAAGTTACCTTAAATATAAACAGTTCAAAATATAGAAAATGTAGCTTGTTTATCTAATAGAAGGAACTGGTATACTCATAGGTACTTTCTATACTAATCTAAATTACTGGATTGTTGGCTAGTAGAACATTTCTTGGCAAACTATTTGACAACTTCTAGCAGCCTTTTAGGCACAAAGCTTGGTTGTTTACAGGACTGCCTACTGTATTTCTGATTATTTCTGCCCCTTATATAATATGTGACAAGGTTGGCATGCTCCAGGTCTTTTCTATTAAACATTTCCCCCAGGGATAGGGCCAGGGTGTTAGATGAATCAGTCTTTAGGAGTTATTGGTTTGAATGAGATTGGCTTCAGTCATGCTATGTTTTTTGTTTGTGTGATTTTTATTGTTTTAGCCCAATGTTAGCCACTTGGAGTCACATTGTGCAAGAAGGGTAGCCATATACATTGAATACATAAATATTTCTAGTAATATTGAACCCTTTGCAACAAGGTCTAGGCCTACACTGTGATATGAACTTCCTTATTTAGCAGTTGATGTTAACCCAGCACTGAAACAAGTGGCATTCAGCTTATATGAGGAACTATTCTGAACTTTGAAGAAATTGTTTTGCAGTGTTGTCTAGGTTAAGGTAATGTTATTGTCCTTGAAGGAAGATGATTCCTTGGTAATGGATTGTTCTCTTTAGCAGTTTTCAGAGTTATAAAATTGAATTGAAGAGCCTTTTGTTAAATAATGATATGCTAGTAAAAATGTTGTACGTTGGTATATGAATAGGGTGTGTGAATAAGATTTTTAATCTTGGCTGGTGGAATTTTAATATGGATGCATCAGTTATTTCACATTCTCTACCCAAACAAGATGGTACTGGCCAGAATGTGTAAAATGTTCAAATTTCAAAGATCTTGAACTCAAAATTAAGTTTATCATGCTCTAAACAGATGCTCCAAGATGAAAGCAAAGTCATTTCAAACTTGAGACACTTCTGGCAGGATCAGAACAGTGTCATGGCATTTCCTGTGAGATCCAAGCAGCCCATTTTAAACTCAAACTGTCAAAACAGCTGTTTCAAGTTTGAAGTGTTTTTACACCTATAGTGCTGGCTTCAGAATTTAATAAATAAAAGAATTGTAAATAAAAATATATGTCATTATACTGAAGTGGTTAGGTTCTTGAAGATTTCTAAGCAAGTACATTGAATTTTCACTGCCAACTCTTTCCATCCCTGCCATACCACTTTTTCTGTTTTCCAGCTTGCACCTGTTTTTCATCTCACTGTGCTGAAGAAGATAGAACAAAAATAGCATTCTACTTCCAATAGGTGCTATAGAAATAAAAGCACAATGAATGTGGAGATGTGTTTGAAGGATAACTCAGGAAATGCTTAATAATTGTATACATGATTCTTAAATATCTTAAAAATGTAAAGGGAAGAAATAGATAAAGCAAAAACACCCAGTTGAGAGATCAAATTGGTAGATCTGATTTCCATAGTAAGCCCACAAAAGTCAATAGATGAAGAAGAAACATAAATCTAGAGGACTCTACTAACTTGGTTGCTGGTTTGCCAGTGCTGATTATTCTTTGCTCTCTTGCATTTGCCCAGCTCTAAATTTCAGTGCAGATCTACCTCTGCCCTACAGTGTCATAACTCTATTTACTGTTTACCCCGTCTCCTGTCTGTCCGAGGTTTACATCAACATGTTTCCAAACTAAAGCTTAAATAAAAGTCTGAAGTTGAATTATTCAGTATTTCTCACAAAATTGATCGGAAATTGAGTGATAGTGAAATATTCCAGTGTTTAAAATGCACAGAGTTCAAAGGACTGAGGAGCAAGACATGTTCTAGACAATAGCAAAGGTCAATTGTTCATCAAGTCAGTTACAAAGTTAGGTTCCCATCTCAGGAAATACAAAGCAAAATTATTGTTGATCTCAGGTAGAGGTTTTTATATGGGAAGTTTTCTAGCTTCCATCAAATTAGGGTGATTATGCTAATTTTCATAGTTAAAGACTCATGGCTACTCAGGAGGAGCTCCTGGTTCCTGAAATCATTATTCCCCTAGTGCCCTCCTTGAAAGCTGTCACTCCCCCATCTCTCTGTCCTTTGATTCTCAACCCAATGCCACAGCCATTCTCATGACCTTGAAGGGTATGTGATTTCATTAGGATAGTAGCCTAGAGGTTTAGGATTGGAAGTAGTCTGATTCAGTTGTGCTATGAGTTCTTTGTTGGGTCTGGTTTTTCATAATCACTCGTACCTCACTTCTGAGGAACTCATGAGAAGGTCTGAGTAGGGTCATAACTTCTCCATCAGTGGAGTCTGATTATGAATATTGTTATATCTAGTTAGACCTTAAATTGCCTTCTGAAGAGAAAGGAGGAGGACCTGCACAAAATGTTACAAATTTCCCCATTTTCTAACTAAAATTCTTCTGCTCTGTTCAGCCTGAACAAGAGTTTTGCAATGCTGGGTGGTGTTTTAGGAGGGAGTAGGGTGTGTGTGTGTGTGTGTGTGTGTTACAAAGCAACCAAGGGAAACTCTTTGTTTTAATGGAAAAATTAGAACATATATCAGGAAATATGGTACAAAATATTACAAAAAAAAGAAATGGGCTGATTATTTTTATATGCTGTTACATAGCATGAATAAAAATTGCTGAGTTTTGAACCATTTATTTATATTTGTGCACTCTTTTTCTGTTAGGAAACTGAACTACAGTTAACTTCTTAAAGCCTTTGGAAGAAGGACTAAATGCAACGGGGGCAAATTGTCTGTGGGAATGAAGTGGTTGGGAGAATCCAAGAACATGGTGGTGAATGGCCGGAGAAATGGAAGCAGGTTATCTAATGATCACCATCAGAATCAATCCAAATTACAGCACCCTGGAAAGGAAAACCCAAAGACTGGCAAAAATGGAGTTGAGAGACGGTCCAGCAGATGTATGTATATGTTAATGTGCTAGGATGATCTCAAATTACCATATTTGTTAATTTCAAAAAAGGCTGTATTTGCCAAGTATATTTTCTACTTGTACATATTTACAATCTTTTTGGCTAATATATGATGACACATTAATGTGGTCAAATAATTTATATTTCTTAAATAAATTGAAGTCCCAATGAAAGCTTAAACGTGAGCCTTATAGTCTTCTGTTCAATGTAAAAGAAAGTTGCTAATGCAGTGGTAAGGAATTCAATTTTCCACTTATTTATAATTTATCCCAGGAAATACCATTAGAATGCAATCCACAGTCACAGTATTCAGGGTAGTGTACGCTTAGACGTCCACAGGAGCAGTTGTAAAGTTCTCCTACTTACATTATTTAATTTCATTTTCATGGAGATATTGGATATCAATTAAAGTGATAGAATGTTAGTTTAAAAAAAACAAATGACCTGAGGATTTAAAGGCAGGTTTAATTTGAGTTTACATTTCAGAACATACGGGGGTAATTTCTTCTGGGTTTTGGTGGGTTTAAATGTTGCCATTTATTTATCATAATCTGTTTCACATGGGAAAACAAGTTTCCATGCTTTACAACTAAATATTTTTAGTGGTCATAAAGGTTCATGTGTATAGTATGGTTTTATTTTTCAGAGCAACTCCAAGTAAAACATTGCTGTCACACTTTTCATCATATTTCATATGCCATTATAGAACTAGGCCAAGTCCAAAATTGCACTACCTGAAGTCAGTTCTAATTTAATAATCCAGCAGAGATACATAATTTTTTAGTTACAACAACCTATTCTCCTTATTTTTGTAACTGCAGAACTTCTGAGTGGGAAAGAAGACTTTGATTTGCTTTAGGTCTTTGGACACAGAATATGGTTTCATTCTGAAAGCAAGCATGCAGTGAAAAGGACTTTGTTTTGCTCTAAATGTCAACATGTCAAAACTGAATAACAAATTATTCATGGACAGATTGTGCTTGCATTATTTTTCTTTTCATAGAACATAATTTATATGAAATCACAACTCCTTTATTACACTGTTTGCTGAGTGGACCAGCTGCAAGTCAACCGCCTCATACCATTAGACCTAATTTTAAGGAACACCTGCAGGGCCACACTAAAAATGCTAGTTGTCTGTGTGTGATAAAACTTTAAAATCAGAGAACAGTTATTTTTATTTAATGTTTGAAGGACAAAATGAATGGCCATGTGAACTGATATCAGAATAGAGAGGATTTGCCAGGAAGCAGTGTTGGTATTTCCCAAAAGTAAAAATGCACAAGTTCAGACAAGTGTAAGATGAAATATAGTATAAATTTTATAAGCTAAATTACTTTTTTCCAATGAAAATAATGCATCTGAGATGCCATGGAACTTATATTGTAAAGCACTATCATTAATTTTTTCGTACAAAAATAAGATGGACTGTTATAATTTTTTGGCCCTTTACGATATATGTATTATTCATTCCCTGAACATTTCCTGTGTGGCCTCACTCGAAAGTCTCAGTTCAGTTATGTGGTGCTGTCTGTCGTCATAACTATCCTGGTGAAAGTGAATCTTCTGCAGTAAACAAAGCATTGTGCCCCACAGGACCAACACATACTTAGGATAAGCTACTGCACTACTCCCAAAATTCCTGCTTTTTTCCTTGTTCCATATACAGTGGCCTCAAAGGAAACAGATCAGTACAATTCAGTATTCAGTATCAGCTAATACTGACATTTGTTTTGATTTATGCAGGTAGTGGTGGTTCGGGATTTGAGGGCCAAAGTCGCTACGTGCCTTCTTCTGGAATGTCTGCCAAGGAGCTGTGTGAGAATGATGACCTAGCAACTAGTTTGGTTCTTGATCCATATTTAGGCTTTCAAACACACAAAATGAACACTAGGTAATTGTTTTATTATTTAGCAAGCATAAAGCCTTATTTGTTTCAGTTAAAACTATGTGGATCTGACAACTTTAAAATGTAACAAACACAGAGCATTGGGAATTGGGTATTTGATTAAGGAGAATTTGACTTCTCAAATTCAAATTTTTAAAAAATTTTCATTAACATGTTCTTCATAAGACCTTGAGCTGCATTTATTAAATGGGACCTGCAACAAAGATTTCAAGATGCTAGATTTGTTTTCCTCTTCCTGTTTTCTGGATGTATCCTAACAGTCAGCCCAGTCTTTATTGGGCTCTTCTGAGGTTTTGTTTTTGCTTTTTTAGGATTTTTTTGCCTTTTTTTTTTTCATTTCTGTGAGATTTCTCTGAGCATGCTGATAACTCCATTTTATGCGTGAATGATGTTATAATGCCCAGAGAATTGAGATTGGATTGTATGTAGACTGGTATATAATATGTTATTAATAAATTAGAATAACGTAAAACTATTTTAATGAGCATTTTGTAATGACTGCTTCATTTTATTATGTAAGTAGGCAAATTATTTAAAGCCAGTGATAGAGAGAAGATTCATTTATAAGTTGTGTTTTTGAAGAAATCCTGTTTTACTAGAATTCACATCCTTTAGGTTTTCTTCTATTCTTAATATTATTACTACTACTGCCTAGACACCATAATAGAGCTTTTAAGTATATAACACTGTGTGTGTGTGTGTGTGTGTGTGTGTGTGTGGTAACTGAAATATAATATAATTTTTGAGCAAAGAGCCTATTGGTACTTCAACAACCTGTAAAATTTCTTGGTAACCCTGATTTTTATCTGTGGATATATTTATTATTTTTAATACTAAGAAAAAAATTAGGATTTGTTGCTTTATAGCCATCCCTAAATTTGAAGGCTTGTTCAATAAGATTGGCATTTAAAATAACATGTTAAATTAAAACATTTCAACCTAAATTCTTAGGATAATTATATTTTCTTTTTGCTTTGATTGACAAAATAGAAAAAAGAACAAAAAAAGGTAGAAAGATACAAGAAACACATACAGTAACTATTATTCAGCCTCATTTTTAAACAGGTCATTAAACCTTGATCCCATGAAACAATATTCATTAGTTCTTCTGTTACATCAATAAAGAACCAGCTCACAAATAGAAGTGAACATGAATTTGTAACCCAGAATTGTAAATCTGAGTAGCTCTGTCTTCCAACATGGAACAGTGTTCTTCTTTGCTACCCCCAATGCTTGATAAAGCCATAGTTCTTTATATAGCAGTATTCTACATATTTGGTATATAATTTAATATATTTAATATATGGGGGGGTGTTGGGGAGGCAGCATGGGATTCAGGATTGTCCAGGTTGTTTCTTGGGCCTTCTCAACCTGAACTGATAAAGAAATTCTAATGAACACTTTTTAGGTATCTTATTAAAATGAGACTTCCATCAAATTTTAGAGGTCACCTGAAATTGAAAAGTAAAAGAAGATTGTCACAACAGATATGTTTTAAGTGTCATGATATTTAACATCACAGATAGTTTGGCCTGAAGTGTTTTTTTCTAGAAGCAAACCAGGGCATATGATTTCAGACAATTAAAATTAGAGGATGTGCTTGTGCTTGTACGATGTATTTCCCAGTCCCATGTACAGGTTTTTCTACAGCGTCTCTAAATACAGGTAGTCCTTGGTTAGCAACCAAAATTGGGACAGACATCTCCTTTGCTAAGTGAAGTGGTCATTAAGCAAAACATGTGACCTTGATGGACTTACATTACTTCCCATTCAGTCTTAAGCAAGTCACTGTGGGTTATTAAGTGAGGCATCATATGCCACAACTTGTGATTTTACTGCCAGCTTCTCCATTGACTTGGCTTGTCAGAAGCCGGTGGTGAAGTGCACAAATGGCAATCACGGACTGCAGGACGCTGTGACGGTCATAAACACCCACCATTTGCAAAATGCCTGAATTTTGATCACATGACTGCGTGAATGATCGTGAATGTGAGGATTGGTCATAGAGTTTTTCAGTGCCATTGTAGCTTTGAATGGCCACTAAACAGGGCAGATGTTAAGTGAAGTCTACCTGTACTCTCATATAACCTGTGACAGTATCTTTATTTTAAAAAGATTTATGCCACCTCAGTCAATTGACTTGGGCAGTTAAATAGAAAAATATAAAGTATACACTCCATAAATAAAAATTCAACTCCACTATTGCATAACTAAAATGTGATTATCCAGTCACCATCAGTTCAGATCAAATGCTTGTTTAAAAAAGATTCTTTAGAATTTTCTGGAATGTGAAAAGTTAAGGGTCCAAACTCATCTCTGGTGGTATCTTTTAGTAGCTCTAGTACAAGTGTGGCACCATCTGTTGGGACAAGGCTCGCCTCTTGTTCACCTGACGAGTAATCCACAGGAGGTTTTCCAGTAAAATGAAAGGGATGAGGCCAAATATATTCAGCCTGTTTTACATGCAGCTTTTAAGCTTGGGAAGTTTTAAATGTGGAGATAGGAGTGATTCATTTCCCATTCCCACTCTTATTGGACTGTTGCTATTTCATGATCTTGTGAATCTATGAAGGCAGCCTTAAGTATTGAATCATTTTTGTGATATTTTTCTTACATTTTAAACAGTTTCTTTGAAATATAACCCTATTTAATTATTAAAGTTTGGTAGCATTCATTAATTGTGTATTTTACTTTTTACAGTCCTGGATAATGCTAGAGTACATTTTAAAATGTCTAATGTTGCCATTCATTATGCTTACTGAAAATGCAAAATTTGTATTTTGTAGGTTTAGGACCCATGTAAAATAAAGGATGAAATAAGTTTTCAGCATAAATGCATTTCAGGCAGCTAACTTCAAGCAGAAACATCAAATCAAAAAGATAATAAATACACACAATCAGACAACAAGAAAGTTAATAAAGTACTTACAGGTTTAAAATGATTGCAGAGAAACTAGAAACATAAAACCACAACTCACAAAAGCTCTAGTGACTCCTGTCCTACCTATAATCATTTTTTAAAGGCAAGGAGATACTGTCCAGGGATCTTGAAAATTTTTACAACACAATTTCACTTCTTCTCTTTTTACAATGCTTGGATAAGATTGTCAACCTGTTAGGAGTTAGATATGGCTATTGTGTTTGAAGGCATTGTTATCAAACAGATTGTAAACAAATGGATGAAATTTCACATCCCTCCGACTTATTTTGCAGTATTTATATACCAATTTTCAGATTCTAGTCAGTGTACAAAATAATTAAGAAACAGTTAAAAAGAAGAACATAAGCATAAAAGAAAACAGGATGACCACTGAGAATATGCATCCTGGGGCAAAGGTCTGCTGGAAAAGAATGGTCTTAAGCACATTTTAATATGTCAGAAGATTAGGAGCCATGTCATCCCTGGGGCATCTTGTTTCACAGGGTGGGGCTACTACAGAAAAAGTCTCCCTCTTGTTCCACCTGCCTCTTACTCCTAAAGCCCTTTTGTTTATTAGAACATGACATCTAATAGCGCTTACTATGTTTTTCACATAATCTAAGCATTTTGAATTCTAGTACCTTATATATGATATAATAGCTATATACCTGTATACCATAATACTTTCAGGAAAGCCAGATTGTGGTGGCTTACAGCAATCAAATAAGCTACAATCAAAGGGAATAAAATCAGATCATAGAACATTATGGTATACTAAAATTGTAGGTAATACAGTAATCAAAATGCTATACAAACACAAAGGCAAGGCAAGAAAAATATGGCAGAAATATTAAAACCCAGTCTGCAGATTAAAAACCCAGCATACTATCAGGGAAGAGCTAAAATATAAAAATATGTTTCCAACTTTTCCAGAAAGGGTAAACAGAAGAGGTAGACCAAACAGTTTGGGGAAGGGAATTCCATAATATTGGGACCACCACCGAAAAGACTATAGCCATAATAGATTCAAGACAAAATTCTTCCAAGACAGCAGATGCAATAGGCTTTTGTTCAAAGAGCATAGTTCCCAGGGTACTATATATGGAGGAAACTGTTCCTCTAGGTAAGTAACACCTAGACTGTTTAAGGATTTATATATAATAAGAACCACCTTGAATTTGACTTGGAAATACTTTGCAATGTGCTCCTTCTGCTACCCATTCTGGAGCACTTACTATAATTTCTGAATCTTGGTCAAAGGCATCCCCACATAGAGTACATTGCAGTCAGGATGTAGCAATATGTGGATTGTGGTAGTCAGATCAGATCTCTCTAGGAAGAGTTACAGCTGCTAAATATATGCAAATAGAGGCACTTCTCCCCACTGTGCTGTCCTAAGCACTGAGGAACAGCCCAGAATCAAAGAAACTCAAACTGCACCTGATCCTTCAGGGGAAGAATCTTTCTCATCTAGGACACAAATGTCTCTTCTAGTCTGTTGAGGTTTCTGCCAACCACCAAACCCTCAAATTTGTAAGGATTCAGTAAGTCTGCAATCTAGCCCAAGCAGGAACTACCCATAGAGCTCAGCGCAGCTAATGTAGTTGGAAAGGACAAGTAGACGTGGATGTCAATCCCAAAGAGATGTCAATCAGTCCCCAAACCTCTGACAATAACTTCTGGGATGATGGAACAGAATAGATTCTTAAGGCTCTGCACAGCATAAAAGCAACAAGGTGTAATAGTAATCCTCCAAACTGTAACCTAACCTCAGGATAAGAACAGAACACAACAAAGCCATGCCCCCAACCCCAGATCCCTAAGGCACTCTGGGAGGATATCATGTCAAAAGCCATTGAGATATGTGGGAGCAGCAACTGGGGCATATTCCTGTTCTGGTCCTTCAGTAGTTCATCTGCCAGAGTAATGAAAGCTTTCTCCATCCAGGAGCATCCAGGATTGTTTAGTCACCACCCTCTCAACCACTTCGGCCAAGAATGCCAAGTTTGACACCTATAGTTATCACAACAAGCAAATCTAATGATACCTCCTTGAAGAGTGTGCACAGCACTGCTTTCTTTAAGCTAGGTAGCACCTCTCTTCCATGGAGGGGTGGTGGTATTGAAAATTGAACAGATCCCCCTCAAATGATTCCTTCCAGCCAGTATCAACCAAGAGGAAAACTGTCAAAAGAACGTGTGGTGGTCTGAATTTGTGTTACTACTCTGTCTACTTCTCAAGGAACACAAGGTGAAACTGGTCCAACAACACAGGACAAGCAAACATGCTAGCCTTCTCCATTTGGCCTTTTCTGTATATTCCCATTTGGCAACAGGAGTTTCTCTTGCTTCAGCACAGGTGTAACCTTTCTAAAACAACAAACAGGCACTTAGCCCAGCTTTCTGACCAAAATTACAGGTAGTCCTCAGTTAACTATGGCAGTTGGGACTGGAATTTCAATCACTAAGCAATGATGTCACATGACCATGCTGCTTAGTGGCAGCAGTTCCGGCACTTCTGGTTGTCACTGTTAAGCAAATCCTGCACCATCATTAAGCACAATATCACATGGTCGCCATTTGCTTCCCCACTGACTTGACTTGTTGGAATCTGGCAGTGAAGATCGTAAATGGTAATCGCATGACTGCAGGACAGTGTGACATAATTGAGAGACAGGCCCCAAACACCCAGATTGCAATCACAACTGTGGGGACTTTGCAATGGTTGGGACTTCAGGGACCGGTCATAAGTACCACTTGTTCAACACCATCATAAGTTTGAACGGTCATTGAACAAATGGTCATTAGTCAAGGACCACCTGTATGACCAATCATTCATCATCTCCTTCTATAGATAATTGAAAAGTAAAGCAAGGTATGCCACAGTCATAGAGGAGGTTCATTGCTGAATGATACTGTATAATGAAGAACTTCAAATAAGTGAGCCAAACCATATTTACAGAGAACACATGAATTTGCATACAAAAATTGATAATTAGCCCATTATTGCAAGAAAAATACAGGTTTCTTAATTGAAATTATTTATATACCAAAGTGTTCTCTGTCGTTCATTAAATTGTGTAATAAGAACATTATTTCAGCACTCAGAATCCAGAAACAAATGATACTGATGCTAAAGAGATGCAGATAGTGCAAAATTATAGTTAGGTTTCTTTTTATGTTGCTAATACTATATCAGATTTTCTCTGAAAGCTTGTATCCCACTTATTCCCATGAAAAAAGAGCTCATGAAGCAAACAAAATAAGTAAAATTAATATAAACAGTTTGTAAGAACACCAGTTAAACATAGAACTAAAAATACCCAAGTTCAATTAAATTTTTCACTGGGCTCCTTAAAGAAACATTTTTTAACACACCACTTAACACTGCAATATCAGAGTCCAACACATCTCTGTTGATACAGCATTGCATAAGATGAGTGCAACATAGAAGACTCTCAGGCTTGTGACTAAACTCATTAATGAAGTCAGGAGCTAATTTCTCACATGACTGGAGCATGTAAGTAGGAACATATAGGAGAAAATAGTGCTTAAGGTATCAAAGGAGAGGAATATTCTATTGTATCAGGAAAATCTTCATCAGTTAATCTATGTAATAGTCTGTGGGAATGACCTTGGGAAACAGGAGGAAGAGCCACAGCCTACACAACTGTCATGCAAAAGGTATCTCAGCCCACAGAAGGAAAAGAGGCGTGGGAAGCGTCTCAGAAGGGATCCTCCCTCGTTTTCGAAAAAGCAAAAGTAAATGAGGGGAGAAGTGCTTTCAGATTTCTGTTACTATAACCTTACAATAAGGGTAATGTTAGTATTCATGGTTTGTGCTTCTTGTCTGGAGTACCTTGACGGGATAATACTGTACACTTATATCACACATAAAAAAAAAAAGTTTTTTAAAAGCTTTATTTGTTTGGTATCTCTCATGCAAATGAAATAGCATATATTTCACCGCTGAGATAACAAATGCTGTACCGTATGTCAGATGTTACTTCCCCCATGTTTTTTATAGGGCCATTAATATTTCCTTGTCCTTATTAAAAATGCCTCTCCTAATCCTGTCAGGGACTATCATTATTATTTCTGTTTTAATTGTTGTATAAAACCTGTTGATAGCAATATTCATTTTTACTTCTCGCCCTATTATAATTTAGTTTCTCTGAATATATGAAGTCGGTAAATAAAATGCAGCTTGATTGACTGGAGTTCTATTTTGTTTTTTTCCTGAGGTTTCGACCAATAAAAGGAAGACAAGAGGAACTGAAGGAGGTGATTGAGCGTTTTAAAAAAGATGAGCACTTGGAAAAAGCCTTCAAGTCCTTGACGTCAGGTGACTGGGCCCGGCACTATTTTCTTAACAAGAACAAAATGCAGGAAAGGTTGTTCAAAGAACATGTAGGTGTATTTATACTTAATCCAAGTTCAGTTTGTTACAAGTGCAGTTTATAGGATATTGTGGATGTTAATCAAATTAAACTGGTAGAAAAAAAATGTCTTTTTATCTTTAGCAAATGCCCAGAGGCGCTGGGAGTCGGGTGGTGTACAAATTTGATAAATTAATAAATTAATGCTATGTAAGATTTTAAAAAATTAATTAGCTGGATGAAAATTAACAGTGAAAAAGAGGGAAAGGACTGAGATGGTTGAAGGCTTCAAAGTGGGTAGGAAAAGAAAACAGAACAAGATGGTATCAGAGGCAGCTGGAATCAAATGAAGGAAATTGTTTGCCCTTTATAATAAAATACCATGTCCTGTTAAAAGTTCATGCAAATATACTTGATTACTTAATTATGATAAAGAAATGACTGGGATTACATCCCATGTGAAAGTTTATTGAAATGACTTTAAATTAATACATTAAAATGTAATTTTCCCTTAGTGAGTGGTATATAGAAAATGAGTAAATAAAAGTTTGAAATTAAGGAATAAACTCAGGAATATATGTTTAATAGTTTTATCAGAAGATACAAAATTTAAGTATTAAATAGCTAAAAACAGTACTAGTTTTCCATTTTTATTGTTTTTTTAAAGATTTAATTTACATCTCATCTTTGCAGAATATTACACATTGAGAAAATTAGGGCTTCAGACATTGAAAGTCTGTCCTTTGAAAAAAGGTGTGTTATTTTAAAAGGAATTCTTAGTTCAGTCAACTAAAGCCTTGAATACTCTTGAATACCTTGGTAGTGCACTCTCTCAGAGAATAGTAAGACATTTGAGAAATGGAGAGAAACACATTTAAAGACTAACTTTCTTCCCTGGCTGGAGAATGCTGGAACTTCTGGTAATACAATTTAACACCCAGTTTGATACTTCATGTGACCTTGGCTGGAAGTCTGTGTAAGGATATAATTATTTTTCCCCTCCCCCTTTTCACATAAAACGTATTCTTATTTGAAAGTTTGAACGTTATACTTGTATGTTGTATGAAATACATGCTAATTTATATCTACTGTTACCATGAAGTTTTGTGAAGCATGTTGGTGAGGTGTTAACATTCTTAGTTTATAGCAAGTGTAGCAGCCATTCAATGCAATTTAGCAGCACTAAGTTGAGAGAAGTTCTTAACAGTTTTTTTTAAATAAATCTTTTCCTGCTGCAGGTATTTATTTATTTACGAATGTTTGCAACTGACAGTGGATTTGAAATATTGCCATGCAATCGCTATTCATCAGAGCAAAATGGAGCCAAAATAGTTGCAACAAAAGAGTGGTAAGTATTGCAAAAATGTTGGTGCTGAACTTGATTTTTGTGGTGATAATATTTCTGGTGACAGGTATGCTTTTCTAAAATGCTCCTTCCACTTTCATCTATTTTTTATCAGTCTTGCTGTTGCTTTAGTGTTGTTTCTTTCAATTGAAAGGAAGTGTTTCATTGATTGATTGATTGTCAGGTCTTCACCCACCTCAGGAAGCATATTTCAGTACAGAGGCAGGTCAACTTCTGTTTTGCTATACTGTGATATTTTCATAGTCCCAGCCTTGTAAAATGGAAACAGTTTCCTTTATGATCTTTCCCACAAGCATAAACACATTTGCCTTGAATATGAATATATATATTTCAAAGGCACTACCAGGGGATAGG